AGAGACAGTGATTCCCAACCAGGGGTACTTGTGTCCCAGGGGATGGGGTATTTCCGCAGTTGGCACTGAGTATGTGGAAATATTGTGGAGTCTTTAACTTGAAAAAACTAAAATTATAATTTATTTAATCATTTTAATATATTATATATATTTTTTAATATACGTATATTTGTGTTTAAGAGGGAAACGACCATCCACACAGGATTACAAATTGGTGTGATGCTGATCTTTGGTAAATTTGTCACAATGTTAGCTAAAAGTAGCAATAAATGGTGTAAATGGTTTACCCGAAGAATGGATAAACTGGTAATATAATCAACAAATGTTAATGGATAAACAGGTGAAATAAAAAAAAGCTAAAAGTAATGAATAAATGCTTGAAATAGTAAAGGTAATGGGTGAATAGTTGAAATAAAAGTTCAAAGTAATTGATAAATAGTTGAAATAGTAAGAGAAAAGTAATGCATTACTTTTTGCTACAGATGTCACAATACCAGAAATTTAGTAGTCAATACCAGTGAAATTCCAGGATTCTCCTACCTGAATGAACTGCATTCTGTTTAGTGTTTAATTTCGTCATCTACATCTTTTGCGCAGATTACATTAATGAATTAATCATATTTGATTATTGTTTGTGCGGCTTTTGTTGCACTTGCAGTGGCGTGGAGAGTTTGTGGCTCTCCACTGCTCTCTGCTCGCCAGAGGCTCAGCCCCACCCGCAGCGGTGTTTCACTGTGGGTTGATCGACTGATCTCCCGCACACACAGCAAAGCGGACTTCCATACTTTTAGATAACTATTGGTTGAAAAAGTAAAAAGTAATGCATAAAAGATTGAAAAGTCTAGCTTCTTCCACACCAACTGGTAGTAGTACAAATGCAAACTCAACCAGACCGACCTAAACACTGACAATTCAACTGTACGAACATTTGTTGACAGTTGGGCATTACCGCTATACAGTGTTATAACACCCCCCTCTCTTATCTCACACTTACTCTGTGTGTGTGTGTGTATTTATATTCCTGTCCCTGGACTGCTTAACACACCACTAACCAAACAACATGTGTCCATTCTGATAAAGCAAAACTCTTAAATCTATATTAAACAGTTATAATCAGTATCTCTCTTTGGTCTGTGGGGTGGCTGCCTGCAGAGAGAAGAAGATGCTTAGTTCTGGAGCTATTATGGCTGTCTCAACACTGAGTGCGATGCTAACTGTTTACTCTGTGTTATGTCAATACAAGTCCACGCTGTCACTAGCATTTACACTATCTTAAAGCAAAGAATGTGTTTTGTCAGAGAGGCGAGTTCCAACCCATAGCTCTGTCTCCAGTCTGGTATCTGATGGCGAGACTTATTGCGGACTGCAGCGCAGCATGGTTCACTTCATTGGTTAATGATGAACAAACAGTCATGGAGGACTGGAGACAGGCGAGATGAGTGGTCTTAGTACATCCTAGCAGGGTGTTGCCACTTTGTTCATTATTTCACTGTTGTGCATCATGGAAGAAGAGGAGAATGAGAGTGATAGCAGGAACTGATTGCCGCAGACGTCACATCACTGATAGAGTACAGCCACACGTAACTGACATAGAACAGAGACTCCAGCATAGACTCAGCAGCTCATTTGCCATTTCTCTCATTTTTTCTCTTTAGTTTCTGTGCTTGCTGCAAGAGGACATCCTTTAGACTTATGGCATTAATGTCAAACAGCCCATCTAGAAACCAATTATAATATAATTGTATAGAAACCTTACCCAACTATGTTATATACCACATTTGGTGAGGACTGGATGAAGTTTGTAGGATGAATTGTCGGCTTTTAATGATCAGCTTGAACCAAAAAAGTATATTATATATATGATATTATTCGAATTATATTCCTCTACACCTCCGGGAGTTATGAGGCAAAATGTTAAATGTTACATAACTGGCCACTTGGTAGTGCTATTCCTTGCCAAACATTAATCACATCCTCCTTAGACACTGACCTAACTTGCCAGCACATTCCAATAAAAATCTGCCAATAACTTTTTGAGATTTTAAGGACAACAAAATAAGAAACATTGTTTAGTTAAATGCTATTTTCAAAGTTTACAAAGTTCATTACAGGAAAGCATAAAGGCAAGTATGAAATGATAAAATACAAAATAATACAGCATAAAGCGCAAAGGAGAATAGAAAACATGATCAAAAGAAAGATTATATGGTTAAGGAAAAATGGGAGAGCTTTAGGAGGTATATGGCTGGAGGGAACAACATAACTTGAGAAGAATGTGATGGTTTGGTACAGTACTGGAGCCAGACTGATATGGGTTTTTTGAGATTGATACCGATACCAATTTAAAGGGGGAAAAGTTACCAATATGACAGTCGATATAGTGAATTTTTAAGTTTACACTGATTTGGTCATGCAAAGATACTCAGAAGGCTGCTTTGTTAAATAACCTAGTTAAAGAATATTTAAGTTAAATATTATTTAGCATGTTAAATAATTTAACATATAGGCTACACTGTCAGCCAATACTAGAAATGAACACTTAGAAAGTAAAGAATAAATAAAAATAAAACACTACAAGCCTTTTTTATATACCAAAAGAAAAGAAAAAAAATATTTATAGAAATGTATATACCGGTATGTACATCTATATATATATATATATATTTTATACATACTATATACATAGAAATCATCATCATCTTAACATCAGTAAGACTGAATCATTTAAGTTTAAAATAAGTTTATAATAACTTAAAAAAAACGTAAAAACATCAATATGTCCGTGTCACACAGTCCACAACCTTGATAGGCAGTTTTCTGTTGAATTTCTTGAATGTTATTTATTATTTTGTATTTTGAGTAAACTGGCCCTTTAAATTATGCTCTGTCTTTTACCAACATCACTGAGGTGAAACTGAGGCCACACATCACCCGCTGTGTGTTTGTGTGTATCCACCATACACAGTTATACTTGGTGCATCGATGGTGTACCCCAGATCCATTGATAATGTGTCCATTCCCTTCTGCATTTAGCATGCTCATGAATCCGACACATACATAGCTTCATTACTTTTTAAAGACCACCACAGCCCCTCCCACAGAAGAGTTGGTCTGCTATAAACTCAATGTCATCATGGATGCTCACTGATATCATGACCTAGAAAATAAAGCAACATGATTATCTCTCCAACATAATGCATAACCAAGTGCCAGAATATAAACAGAATAAAGCTATACGGCCAAAACAGCATACGACGCAGAAAGACAGACGTAAACCTGATCACCTTTTGTTCTAAACATTCGCCAGAGGCTTCAACTAAACAGCAAAGCTTGACCAATCACTCTGATGTGTATGTGCGTGTCTGCATGCATGTGCACGAGTGATAGATAGCATAAGACATCTCCACATCACGCAGGATCTAAGAAAGCTAACAAGACACAGAGCACCGCTGACACCATGGCCTTATAAAGCAGGAGTGTGCTCCCCGCCCCGGCCTGCAGACACAGAAAGCTTTGATCTGCCGTTGTACGGAGATGACAGACAGGGCGAGGCCCAGCGAGCTGCAGCCATGAATATCGAACTAATGGAACAGATGCTGTTCCTATCAAAGTGTGTTGGAATCAAATGAGCAAACCTTCTCTCTTAATATCAAATGTGATAACCTTATCCACATTGTTGTAGAGGACAAGCACCCCAAACAAATGGGGTCTCCTTATGGTGTCTTGCCATTCTCTAGAGGGGCCACCTGGGAACAGGTAAGGTAATGCTGTAGCTAACCCCCTGATTTATTTCACCAGTTATCTAAAGATAGACTGTAGTAAAACCATCACTCCTTTTTTCTATTAATTTCTCCACAAAAGCTAGCAAGCTGTACTAATTATTTAGATAGTTTGAGTTTAAAGGGTTGCTTCACCCAAATTACAAACAGCTGTAGTGGTATCTAGCCATGAAGGTTAAGATTTAGTTTTTGAAGTTTTTGAGATATCCTTCCCTGAGATTTCTGCTGCCACACCAATACAATGAGAAATGAAATATAAAATAAAAAATCTCAACATCTCTTGTGTCCCAGTGACTCTGGATAATCCACAGAACACACAGTCTACAGTTTTCATGGGGATTATTTCTTTGGTAGAAAATAGTTCCAATAAAAAAATGTTTACAGCATGGACTGTGGATTATTCGGAGTGACCAGGACATTGTTTCTGAAAAGATTTGGGGATGGATTTACCTAAAGAATAATTTGATATTGGGATTTATAGGTAAAACGCTCATTCATTCTCTTTTTTATTAAATATACACCGAAGCACCATACGCAACAATGCACTGTGTGTTCTGACACCTTTCTGTCAGAACCATTGATGCAAGTGGGTCCAATTTTGCCTTTATTTCATAGGACAGCTTAAGATGGACAGGAAAGGTGGAGAGAGAGAGAGGATGACTTGAAGCAAAGGGCCACAGGTCGGACCCAAACCCACGACCAATGTAAGAAGGACACCTATATGTGGGGCAACAACTCTACCAGGGGAACTACCAGGTTACCCCCTTATTTGCTCTATTTCCAAGAGTTAGATAAGAACATTAATACCATTATCTGTCACCAGTCTGTCTATTAAGTATGAACCTATGGCCAGTAGCAGATTATTTTGGCTTTGCATAAAGACTGGAAACAGAAATTGCTACGGCACTCCTCGTGAAAACACACCTTGTCATTGTTAACATTTTTGTTAGATATACCAAGTTAATTAGTGAGCTTTAAATGAGCTAGCAGGCATACTTTCTAAACTTTAGATAGAGCCAGGTTAGCTGTGTCCCCTGCTTCTAGTCTTTTTGCTAAGCTAAGCCTCCTGGCTCTAGCTTCATACTTAATGCAAATACAAAAGCGTGGTATCAAATTTCTTTCAACTGTTGAACCATTAAATAAAATGTTTCGTTGCTTTTAACACATTCATTTACCATCATTGTATTGCTGAAATCTGGGAGACAGATATCTAAAAATTACCTTTTCTTGGTATTGCCGTCTGGATGAGTCCAGAGACTGGATGAGAGCGGTTGCATGGCCGATGAACATGGCGTAGCAGGTGGCTCCGACAATCATACTGAGCATGGTCAGCCAGATGTCCGACATGCTCTCTGGGGCTTGTCTTCCATATCCAATGCACAGCATGTGGCTCATGGCCTTAAAGAGGGCAAAGGAGTAGAGCTCACTCCATGAGTCATTCTGTAGGGAGAGATGGAGGGAGGGAGAACGGGAAAAAAATTAAGTTAGGAAAACAAAATATAAAGAAGGTGGAAGAGATGGGAGAGAAAAATCGGGGTTATTCTGTCCTCCTAGAGTAGCTCCCTACTTTTACATTTTTACTTTCTGCTGCAATGATTTTGACCTGCTGACCCCAGCCTGTCGTCTCCGCCAAAAGTAGACTGTTAAAGATACACTGCAGTGAAAATTTATACAAGCTAGAGTGTGCCAGAAGTGGTGATAGAGATAGTGAATTTAAGAATAAAAGGGCTAAAGAGTGAGACATTCCTGGTGAAGTATATGGCTCTCTGTCTGGTGATCGTTTCAGGTTTTGTGGAGAGAAGAGGAAAAAAACGGGTGTTAATGAGGAGCCTGTACATCTGCTTGCTCTAGTCTGCCTTTGATTGGTGCTCACACACGCAATGTTAGATTCATTAGAAAGCCCTCCACAGGCACAGCTGAACCTCACATCCTCCCCTCAAACAGCTGTGGTTCACGCGCTGTCAGGGGTTTACCGCTGTATGTGTGTTTCTTCTCAAACTCCTTGTGTCCCTCTTTGGGACAATGGTGTCTATAGTCAATGATTGACTGTTAGGATTCCTATCTGATTTGTATTTTTCCAGGGGAATTTGCATTTAATTTGAGATTCAAATTTGGTTGGTTTCGGAGGAGGTGAAAGAGGATGTACTGGCAGGAAGCTGCCCTCAGATTTGATTTGATTTGAGAAACAGCAAAGAAAACAAGATTTTAAAGGCACTTAGCCTCACGCAGCAGGATAACTATAGAATCTCTGCCCTGGTGTTAGACCGTGAGCTTAGCTCTAGCCTCCGAGAATGGCTTAAAGTTTAATATCTGTCAGCTGGATCAGTTGTTTGGATTTCTTTGAGGAGATAAACTGGACCTTGTAATCTTCAATGAAGGCAGAGAAACTCACAAAACAGAAAACAGGCCTGTAAGACTACAAGAATCATCTTCATATCTCCAGCTTTGTTGTTATTTCCATACTATGTAGCCTTGTAACTGCGGACCTTGTCTAACTGTCAGCCATAACCCTTAAGCCCATTATAATAAGCAATATTTCCCTGACAGAGCATTTAAACACCCCCAGCCTCAGTGTGAGCATCCCCACTGCCCCGGCTGGTGAACACACCCAGTGCTGAATCCCTCCAGTCAGCCATCAGCATGCTGGCCACATTGCTGGTGGATAAACAGCAGGAGCAGGAGGCCCTAACCCAGAGCGCAGGCACAGAAATAAACACCTTCTTACACACGACTGCATCTGTCTGTCTCACTCTCTCTCTCACAATCACACACACACACACAACATGAATATACAGTATTTTAGTGGACAGAGCACCACAGAATGATATCTTTAACTACGCTGGGTGGGGTTTACTCTAAATGTACTGTACAATACTCTGTACAAAGGAAACTAGATTACAATGCTAACAAATATGAAAAATGGACGGCTGCTGAGTAGATACTGTACATAAAACCCAGAAATAGCCCCTGGCTTGTCTGTCTGTGATCTATACGACAGCTCAGGGGCTAGCTGATGATAAAACAGGCTATTTAGTACTGTCACATGCTATTGTGGCATTTATAAGACAACATTACAGTAAATCCACTGGGGTCCTGCCAGTAATAATATAACCTATCTATGGGTCGAAGATGCATTACTCTCAGTCTGTCTGTGCAGCTGTGTGAGTATTCCTAGAAATGATTTTATCGACATCAATGTTTACGTTGCATGCTGCACATAAAAACAACAACACAACCACAAACCTGAATAAAGCAGGAAACTGAAGCTCCAGGTTGATGTATTGAAACAAATGGACACATTCACACCATATGAATGTTTACATATACTGTAAATTAAAATGGACAAAGCATGTCTAGTTATATGTATGCTTTAAAAGGAATAGTTGATATTTTGGGAAATATGTTAATTTGCATTTATGCTGAGAGTTAGATGAGAAGCTTGATACAAGTCTCATGTCTGTACGGTAAGTATGAAGTTACAGCTAGGTAGCTTAGCTTAGCATAAAGAAGCAGTAACTTTGTGGATTCTTCATTGGTTGCCTGGCTACAATAGAGGCTAGCTTTTTCCCCCTGTTTCCAGTCTTCATGAAATATGATGATTCATTTTCCAAAACTACTCCTTTACATGACGACTGCACTGAGCCAGAAAGCCCTTTTGAGACGGAGGACCAACCACATGTTTAAGTTGAGATGATTAGCTGATTAAAATCTGGACACAGGTGTACAGCTGTCTCTTATATCTGGACATTACCAGGCTTCATATAACACAATAAATAATCTCATACTGATGAACACCCCTGTTTTTGAATGTGGGGGAGGTTTTGGTAAAGGGGGGGGGGGGGGGGGGCAAATGAAATTAGCTTTTGTGTTCATTTTATTTGCCATCGGTCTTCACTGAGCAGCGTGGATGATAGCTAATTGTACATAATACATTTAGGGAGGAACACAAAAGGGAGTATGGGACATCTATGATGCATGAGGGCGTAAGTATAGAATAGTGAGTGTACGTGCATGCTGGCACGTCCATCTGGGTTTACATGCTCTTTGACACTCAGCTTGTATTTGATTGTGTGTGTGTGTGTGTGTGTGTGTGTGTCAGTCATGCTGCTGAGCATCTCCTTCACAGGGTGCAGTCCCTCTCTGACCGTCTAAAACTGACATGTTGGGTTTGGTTGGCTTGAAAGGACTGACATGTAGTTAGATGGCACTGACATTAAGAATTTTAATATGTAAACTGCCATAAAAGACCTTGTTAGCAATGTTAAGATTCATTATTTAGAGGCAGTGAGTTCCTGTTTGGATTCATTATTTAAAACCAAATGAGTTGCAAGATGGTTTGGTGTCAGCTGGAAGTACTTGACGATATTAATGAAGAATGCGGACATACTAAAATATTTCTCTTGATTACTCATGCATAAACTTAAATTGGAGTGTGTGTTGAAGTAAAAATAACAGACTATAATAAGCTAAATTAAAGTTTTAATTGGCTGATTCACAAGTTTAAATGTAGGGCTGTGTATTGGAAAGAAACTGGTGATACCATACATACCAAGATACAGAGGTTACAATTGAGTATATTAGGATATATTGTGATACTTATATATAGTAATTTAATTTTAGGAAAACACACCACCATAAAATCTAGTAGTAAAAATGTTTACAATCCCTTTAAAACCCATTATCATAGCCCTCAGTTTACATTTACAACATTGCTGTCTAGTGGTTTTGTAGGTTTAAACACAAAAAGCAATTGAGTATTTGACAAATTACATTTTCTTAAGTAGGATTCTTCCTCTGGGGTCCATAAATAACATTTCATAGCAGTTCTTAAAGTATTGTAGTCTGGTCCAGACAGGATGAACCCATTAACTGGCCAACAAACAGACCAACATAGCTAAAACGTTAAGTGAGTTGTACTTGGAGTGTTCTTGATTTTAATCATTTATTTCCATCTGGTTTATGGAATTCTTACTGAGCTGACTCCTGTGTATCCTTAACTGACTTCATCAGATGTGAAATGGATGCTTGTAAATCATGTGGCAGGATTTTAATTGATTTAATAGAACAATTTGACTCAATGGATCATAGCTTGTGCTGCTCAATAAGCTGTTATTGGGTTTGAGTTCATTAACTTTAATTGGTATTTCTCCTTTGATAGATATCAAGAGGAAGAAGTTCAACATCATGTGTTCAACGAACGTCCACATAATGTAATAGATCAGATGAAATTATCAGTTTACTTGCTTCAATAACTATATTTCATGACTTCTGTATAGTTACAGTGGAGACTCTGCAATAAACATGTTTTATACACTATTGAACTGTTACAGCAGCTAAAGGGGGGGTAGTATTATTATTTGGGAGTACAGGACTCCCAAAGGGCTAGTTTTATCTCCCCAGATTTGATTTCAGCCCTTCATCTTACAGTCTATTTAACTTCCCCCCTCTGACACAAAATACAACAATTTAATGAGATTTGCTGCTTTGTAAATTGTCATCACATCTTTCTGTTGACTCTGATATATTACGCCCTAATATAAATGAAAACTGAAAACAATGAAGAAAACCACAGCTATCATTCTTATATTGCATTTAAACTTAACATTGGGAAAAGCCAGTTGCTTATTTAGCAACGCTGCCAGTATGGTTTTATGGATAATAATGTTGGTCTGTTGACTGGTCCTCCCATTTACTCCAGGCTGAAATATCTAAACAATATATTGAAATTGCAATTAATTCTTATTTATTGTTTATGACCAAATTGAAAAACTAATGAAATTCCCATCAGACTTTTTTTGACCTGAACTTGAGTGACAGCTGGCCCCCTACTGAGATGCAATCATAGCTGTTAATCATGATCCAAAAATGTTATAAAAACAAACTTATATGGAGAAATACCATTTGAATATATACATCCTTTATATACATTACCTTTGGGAAAAGATAATTTGACGTGTACTTTGAATTTTTAGTTTGGCTCATGTCCCATGCACTAATATAGAGGGTACAGGACTTATAACCTGTACTGCCACCAGCTACCAGGCAGTGATCAATTTAGCTCCACTTCCGGGGAGCTGCCATTTCATCCATCTTTATGCCATCTATGGTGCAGCCTCACAGAACCGAGTATTAACTCTTTCCAAGCTAATTTCTTTACTTTTTCTTAGAGTTTAACTTGCTTTTAATCTTATTATTTCAAGAAATAAAGAGAAGTTGAATATTACAAACCTGAATAATTATCCGGTCATTCAGTAAAACTGCATACCACTGCACAGCAGAAACTTTTCTTCTTAAAATGGGGTTGGTCTCACAGGGGCATCTTGCCCCACAAAGACTGCAGCTGCAACCAGGCTGTGCAGCATTTCTTTTTAAACTAGCTAACACATGGCTTGACCTAGCAAAACACAAATTCACTCAGATTGGAGCTAATAACCCTCTTCAATGTATGTATCCTTATGTGTACATTCAACACAGTACCGTTCTCCAAACTTCACCTGATTTTTCTGGTATTTAAAATGCAATAACTTATGAGAGACACATAAAATTACTCAACCTAAAGGTTATATGTCTCTGCAATAAATGTCTTCAACCCGTCCATGTGTCCATCTGTGCTCTTCCATTAAAGAGAGACAAAAATACCATCAGACTACCAGTATAAAACACACAAAACTGTACCACCCACTTTACATGTTCTGCTCTGAAAAATGTATTTAATAAATTATTGTTACTGACATCAATTACACTTAGTAAATAGTAAATTTGCCACATAAGTGCCAACAGTCTCTACTGTTGTCACTCACTCACATACACACCAACACCTCCACAAGCATCTCACACAGTCACTGTCCGTTATTCTCACGAGCGCTGACAGGCCTGCCTGCCAGTTAGATCACTTCAGTAATTGAATGAATGGAGGATATCCTTATTAACTTTCAAAGCAGGAGGGTTTCTTGAAGTGCATCCATGTGTGCGTATGCATAGATATTAAAGCCACACAAATCGGTGTAATATTGCAATTATAGCAACAGTTCTTCTCCAGGAAAATGTCAACAGCCTTAATATTAAATACAGAAACAGAGCTCAGAGTGAAGCAGAGAGAAGTGGAAAAAGAAGAGAGAGGCTTTATTCTAATGCCATTGATCCAGCAGCCAATCCGGCAGAGGTAGATGGGACAAAACCACCCGTCATCCATGTAACAGAGATCCCCCTAAATAACAGCGATGATTTGGTCTCTTGTGATCACTGCGCTGCCGGAGCTTGATTATCAGGCTTATAATAAGCACCACTGTCTGCTGCGTGCATATCTTTTACAAGTCACAGTCTGTTTTTGAGTGTTCTGAGGCAGAGCTGAATACATTACAGGAAGGAAAAAAGTGAGAATGAGGCTATTTTGATTAGCACTTATTTGTAGTCTCACATACACATGGAAGCGGCTACGAAAGCTTCTGAGCGATTGAATGAATCACATGTTGTTTATATGTGGCTGAACAGTATTTCCATAGCCGAAGAGCATGGGTGACGCAATAAGGAAAGCAGGGTGGAGTCCAGTAAACGTCCAGTGCAGGCAGACAGCCAGTCAGCCTGAAGTGAAGCACAAGGATCATTTAACGCTGCGTCTGTCGTTCAAAGCCACTCTGAATAGGATCGCTGACCTTGATTACCCTGAGATGAGAAAGCAGCATGAGCACACCAGGCGGCCACGCCCACATGGGTGCTCGTTGGCATTGTGGCATCTTGTTCGGAAAATGACACGTAGGCGTAAACAACACAAGGGAGCAAAGGAGTGCAGCAAGTCAGCAAAGGCCAGGTTCATGGATGACATCTTAGAGAACAATATATTTCCCCTGCACTCATATCATTTGGTGATAATTAACATTGTACACAGAAATGTAATTGTGCAATAAAGAAGCTGCCTGTCCTCTGAGATTGGAAAATATCAACATAAAATGTAACTCTGAATTGGAGTTGGGTGCTAATACGAGATCAGCATATTTATATTTGCAACCGTGAACTGAGAAAACAACTCCGGTTCTTGGGGGAGTAGTCATATTTGAGAGAATAACAAGTAGAGCCAAGTAACGTCCAAGCTCTTGTCACTTTATTCCCTCAGTCAAACCAAGTCAAATTATATATTACCGCTACTGTGAGCCAGATATGACTTATAAAGCTGGAGCACAGCAGTGGGGTTCTTCTTGGCCTCAACATTTAGTCAAGTACTGAACTTAAGTGCACTTTTGAGGTACCTGTATTTTCCTTTTCTGCTACTTTGTATTGCTACTCCACTACAAGAAATATTACACTTTTTACTCCATTACCTTTACTTGATGACTTTAGCTATTATTACTTTGCAGATTCAGATGGATTCTATAGAAAACAAAGAAATTATTATTATTATTATTATTATAGGCGTTTATTGAACTTCAGGGGGGAAATAAAAAAGTTACTAAGCAGTATATTTAAAAAGTCATTAAAAAAATGTGCTCCTTTACCATCTGCATCATTGAAGCGTTGTATACATTAGTGCATCAAACATTAAAATCCAATGATATAATAAACATTATTCTGAAATGAGCCATTCTGCATAATGAGTACATTTACTTTTGGTACTTTAAGTATGTTTTGATGCTAATACTTTTGTACTTTTACTTTAAAGTAAAATTAGTAAGTAAAGTACAGGACTTTCACTTGTAACAGATATATTGTGTGTTGGGTGTGTGGGTGGTGTGTGTGTGTGTGTGTGTGTGTGTGTGTGTGTGTAGAGAGAGGGAGAGTTAAAAAGAAAGATGACCAGGGACGAAATGAGAAACAAGAGATGGAACGACAGAGAAGCGACAGTGATGTCCCCTAGGGTCAATGGGTGTGAGATCCATCTGTTCCTGGAGATCTCACACACTCACACACACAAAACCTCCACACACAAGTACGCACAACAGTGTGTCATGGTACAGAGTGTTTTCAGAAGAGTATTTTTTCGAGGCCTGAGTGTCACAAATCTATGTGCCAAAATTAGAAGCTTCATTCTCAGCATATGAAACATTTCTTAGTGACAGCAGTGTCAGACGGCTCAGGAAACCGACTGCGCCCGACAAAAGCACGGGGAAGGAATTATCCAGTCTGCTGAACTTCCTTAGACACAACAATTATGTGATGTTTAATCCAAGAAATAGTTTAAGCCTCCTTGAAAGGTCACATTTGAAGCTTCTGATGCTATAGCAATAAGTAGCAGTCCTCTTTAACTCCCAATCTATTTAACCCACTAGGTGTACCACAGGTAATACAGGAGATGAATGTGTGTATGCATGTGAAATACAGAATATAAGCAAGAGGGCAAGCAGGCCTATGTGTTTCACTGCTCATATCCCCTGACTTCATAATGCCTCTGGCGCTGTCAGCCACCAAGTCTTTTATCTCCATTACAAAATGAGAGTCAGACAGGATGGAAGGGTTTAATTCGAAAATGATACCCAACGAGGGAAAAACTTTTTCCTTCTGTATTTTTTCTCTGTATGTGTTCCTGATTGTTTTTTATGATTTACTCAAGAAATCTAATAGCCTATAAAAAAAGGGGGAAAAAAGGTAGGTGTTTGTCCTTGGTGGAGCGCAGAGGATATAAACAGACAGCCCTCTGTTGAGCCCTTCGGTTGGTTTGAACCCACCAAACTTCTTTTGAAATTCTACTCAAGTAAAGTTGCTTAAAGTTTCCAAAGAAAACTGAATGTCAGACTGAGGTTTGGGGACATTTGTTTAAAAAGATGTAAATCACATTGATTGTGTTGAATAACCCCCCCCCCCCCCC